CTCCTACAAATTTCCAAAGGAAAAAAAATTAAATCGCTAGAGACACCAGAGCACTATTATGAGCTTTCACTATGCACCTCTGAAAGCCCAAGCCTCAATTCTATGTGTTCTATAAAATATTGGCAACTTTTCATCACAAGGGTCAATAGGGACAAGAAAACTGAACATTTCAGTATCATTTGAAAATGATGTCAAAACAACTCTTTTTGACATCTATTTTCCCTGGGGATCTCCTTAGGCCTCGCCTCTCCTATAGCCAGCATCCATTTATCTCTCTGTCCCTCTTTCTCTCCCAACCCGTTTTCTTCCCAGGATTTCTGGGAGAGAAGACAGATGTGTTCTGTGTCTCGGGGTTAAAAGAAACCTCCAGGCACTGGCATTAAATGATGGTGTCAATTCATGACCTGTGATGTGCTAATCTTACTTTCCTTCCACACTCTGGCCCATCACTTCTGACCTCATCTCCTGCCCCTCTCCCCCTACTCATTTTGCACAAGCCACATTTGCCTCTAAACATACCAAGCATGTCTCTGCCTCAGGCCCTTTGCACTGGCTGTTCTCTCTGTACCAATTAATCTTCCCAGACTTTTGCACACCTCATTCCCCCAATTCGGACCCCTCCATGTTTGTCCCTCTCTCTTCTTTCACTCAACTTTATTCTTCTTAAAACCCATGGCCACCTGACATTATGGCGTATTTATGTATCTGTCATAATATTCTAAACTCCTTGAGGGTGGGGACTTTGACTCTTCCCCCTAATATATTCCCCAGCCCTGCCAACATTGCCTGGCCCAGAGTTGGCCAATAATAGTTTCCTGAATGTTGTAGAATAAACCCTATAAAACATCAATGATTCTGCCTTTGTGAGATGGGGTTAATACATAGTTTGCATAATGAGCCATTGCCCAACATTGATCATAACTGCTTTTCTAATCCCTCAGCATGGTAATCATTTCACCAAAAAAAGAAAAGAAAAACAAAGAAAAGCCACAAGGACATGGAAGCCATAATGGTGCAGGAGTTGCCATGTATGGATGTGAGTCTCTGCTCTGGGAGGGCCATATGCCACCCTGGTCCAATACATAATGTGCAGCCCCAACATTTGGAAGTCTACATGTCCACATGCAGCCCCACTCCAGCACGCTTCCTCTCTCACCTCACCCTCCATTCCTCCTCTCTAATATCCATTTACCCTTCCCTTGCGCTACTCCTCATAGCTGTCTTGAACCCAGAGGTTCCCCAAGCACAGGGCTGCCTGCCCCACCTCAGCCCTCTCCCTAATGGCCCAGTTCTCACGGGGTTTGCTCTCCTCAGCAGGCAGCTCCTCCTCAGGTTTCTCCTCCTTCTTCTTCACCAGCCGCACTTTCTCCAACAGGCTCATCAGGCGGCTGCCCAGGGTGACCTCTTCCTCTGGCTCCTCCTCCTTCCCCTCCAGCTGAATTCCTGGAGGTGGTCAAGGATGAAGGGAGTGTCACTCATGTTTGCTATTCGTAAAGTTAACCATTCACTTTTTCATTCCTTCATCTGTTCATTTATTCATGCATGCATTCATGGTTTTTTTCATTTATTTCTTTATATGTCCATATGTTTTTTTTCATTTATTCATTCTTTGAAGACTTTGTCTTTTAAGCCAGCTACTGTAAATATGTTCACAGAGCTAAAGGAAACCATGTCTGAAGTTTTTATTTTTTAATATATTTTTATTGATTTCAGAGAGGAAGGGAGAAAAAAAGACAGATAGAAACATCAATGAGAGAGAATCATTGATCGGCTGCCTCCTGCACGCTCCCTACTGGGGATCAAGTCTGCAACCTGGGCATGTGCCCTTGACTGGAATCAAACCTGGGACCCTTCAGTCCTCAAGCCAATGCTCTATCCACTGAGCCAAACCCGCTAGGGCATGTTTGAAGTATCACAGAGAAGTATGATGACAATGACTCATCAAATAGAGAATATTAATAATGAGGTAGGTAATATAAAAAAAATAACCACATAGAAATTCTGGAGTTGGAAAGTACAAAAACAATTTTAAAAATCACTAGAGAGGTATGAGCACATTTTTTTTAAAACAGGTTAATAGATTTTAACAAAAAATATATGTATATATTTGTTATTGATTTCAGAGAGGAAGAGAGAGGGAGAGAGAGATAGAAACATCAATGAGAGAGAATCATTGATCGACTGCCTCCAACATGCCCTTTACTGGGGATTGAGCCTGCAACCTGGACATGTGCCCTTGACTGGAATCGAACCTGGGGCCCTTTATTCCACAGGCCAACACTCTATCCACTGAGCCAAACCAGCTAGGATATGACCACATATTTGAGCTGGCAGGAGAAAGCATTAGTGAACTTGAAGGTAGGACAATAGAGATAGTCTAGTCTGAAAAACAGAAAAATAATGAAGAAAAACCAACAGAGGTACAGACCTGTAGGACACCATCCAGTGTATCAATATATGCATAATGGGAGTCCCAGAATAAAAGCAGAAAAAAATATTTGGAGAAATATGACCAAAAGGTTCCAAATTTGATGAAAAATATTAATCTGCACATCCAAGAAATTAAACTCCAGCCCTAGCTGGTTTGGCTCAGTGGATAGAGCATCGACCTGTGAACTGAAAGGTCCCAGGTTCAATTCTGGTCAGGGACACATGCCTGGATTGTGGGCTCGATCCCCAGTGGGGGACTTGCAGGAGGCAGCCGATCCATGGTTCTCTCATCATGGATGTTTCTGTCTCTCTCTCCCTCTTCCTTCCTCTCTGAAATCAATAAAAATATATTGTTTAAAAAAGAAATTAAACTCCAAGTAGGATAAACTCAAAGAGCTCCACACCTAGACACATCATACTCAAACTGTGTAAAGGCAAAGATAAAAATAAAAATTTGAAAGCCAGCCAGAGAAAAACAATACATTATAAGGAAATCTCAGCAAGATTGTCAGCTGACTTCTCATCAGGAACAATGGAGGTCATCCATCCATCTTTCCAGTCAGCCATCTCTCCGCTCTCATCCCTCTGCCAATAGCCATCCATCCATATACACATCCACCCAAATACCTATATAAACATATCCTCCCTCTCATCATCTATCTATTCACCAATACATCTATTCATTCATTCATTCATTCATTCAACCAACCAACAGTTACATAGTACAATACTCTATCAGTGGTTCTCAACCTTCTAATGCTGTGACCCTTTAATACAGTTCCTCATGT